GTGTGTGAATAGTGATATATGTGTGTGTGTGTGTGTCTCTCTCTCTCTCTCTCTCTCTCTCTATATATATATATATATATGTATATGAGTAATCCTTCAACCTTCAAACCAGATATATTATACATCATCTAGTATAAACCTGAAATGCCTTTATCTTTTCACATTATTATCTTTTAAATATCAAATAATTACTTTTCCTGCTGTTATTATTTCCAGTCAGACAAGAAAGGATGATTAAGAAATAGTCTGTTATAGTTCTATAGACTCTTGCTATTAGCCAACTTGTTGCTATTCTCATAAAATTATGCAATTTAAACTGAATGATAGCAGCACCAGCTTCTATTAGGAACAAGAACACTTTACTTCATAATATGCTCAATTACCTCTAGATTGATCCATGAATAAATTATAATCCAAATAAACTTCCTTACTTTAGTGCTTTGCTGGCTTAAGGCATCATTGTTGACTCATTATGTTATCACTTTTCTATTGGCAATGTAATGCTTTTTATATCTGGATAGAGACGGTTTTAGTGTAGCTACACTTCTCTATAAAGGAGTAGGATTTAGCTTTTCTGGTGAGAACAAATTCATCAATGATGAATCCCTGGAGAAACTACAAAAACAAAAATCACACCATTTCTGTGCTTTGTTCAGCTCATCAGTTACAAAGTAGCTTTTGATACTGCTAAAGAACTTTTTCCTTTGTTTAAGAAGTATGGCGTGATGCTCAAAACCTCTTGCTTTGAGTTACCGCAGGCTACAACTTTTTTCTATAAGAAAATAATGAATGACGAGGCAAAGCTCCTGCTGCTGCCTCTGTCAAACCCTGCTGCTTCTCCTCCTGCAATGGGAAATCAATTAACTATATGTTCAGGCAGAGATTTGAACTAAATGCTTTATTAATCATCACTAATTGTACATATACACAGTGGCCAACTATGCATTCTTCTTCTAAGTTTTTTTTTGGTTTTGAGTTTTTGTTTGTTTGGGCAAAATCAGAATGCAGATGTATCCTCAGTGTGATATGTGTAAAGATGATCTCAAGCAGGAAAGAATCGATCTTTTGTATTTTCAGAGCACTTAACTTTTAAAACATTGTTTCCCCAGAATCCTTGATCCGCATTAGAGCACATGTTTTATGAAAGTACTTAAATTTTTATAACTAATGAGGGATGCACAATGCTTACAGCTACCTTGAAGCTTTGAATGCTGCCCTCAGCCTCTAGACCCTCCACATGGCAGTGGGGAATTGGAAATGAACCTATTCTGGCTTCAAGGTTGCAAAAGTAGTCATTGATATTTAGTATATGTGCGCTTTCCACTTAAAGAAAAGCTGGGCAGCAGCCAATCTTTTATTTCTTTGATTCTTCTAACCACTGTACTTACAAAGTCCTATAGGAATACTTTTTTGTTTTCTTTTTTATTCATTAATTTTATTGGTACATTTTAGATACACAATATGATGACATTCATCGTTAGGAATTTGCACCTTTACGTGATAATCTTGGTTCTTACTTTTTTAGTTTCTCTGGTGTGAGAAACTGAAAGTGTAAATAAGGATCAAAATGCATAATAGATAATGTGAAAGAGGAAGAAAAGATCTATAGGAATCTTTATGTTAATTTGAAGACCTCTTTATGGGAATAATTATAAAAGATTAGCACAGTAGAATCATAGGACTGTGATACCATTTGTACCTGGCAAATGTAGTCAACTAATGCAGAACACTACAGAGAATATCAGGCTGCTAAATGTTTACCCTGCTTTCCATTCAGTATCCAGTGCTTTTCTTTCTTTTTTTTTTCAGCTTTAATTGAGTTTATTGGTACATTTTAGGGATACAGTACAGTTACATTCATTGTTGGGATCTTGTACCTCTACATGACAAGTCTTGATTCTCATTTTTTCCCCTTACCTCTGCCCTCCCTTCACCCCCTCCTCCCCTCCCCATCTACAAACTACCTGCCTGCCTCCAGTGCTTTTCAAATACTTATCATCATCATTATTACTGTTGCAATAATTCAGAATCATGGTTTAACTATAACTACATTCTTTCTTTCCATTTGGATAAAGAATAATGTAAATAGAAAAGAGGTTCTTTTGATTTATGTTTAAAAGTTCTAAGAACTTTCTTTTGAACAGTCTCCACAAAACTCAGATAAAGTAATGGTGCCAAATAAGGTTAAGATCCAGTCATGAGATCAGATAATGTCTCAGGTCTTGTTAACCTGAGGGGTTTCCTGGAACCAAAGGTCATATGTTTAAACAGTGTTGTGGCTTGTGACTAGATGTGCCCCCAAAGCCTCATGCAGTCTTTTTTCAAGGTTAATAAATCTGGAATGTGTGATGCTAGGATTAAGGTGTGTGATTATTAAACTATTTAGCATGAGTGATTGGTTTGGCACCGCCCTAATCCTGGTAGCTTGAATAAGATTAAAGGAGCAGAAAGACACTGTTAAGGCCCCTTGTTGTTTTACTACCTTGTGAGCTCCGTGTTCTTTCTCCTCTGCAGTGTCTGTTTGCCATCCCTGCCTTGGAGCCAGCCCGCTATAGACTGAAATCTCTATGAACAATAAGCCAAATAAACTCCCTCCCCTCTAACTTTCGGTGTTGGGTATTTTGCCTCAGCAGGGAGAGAAAAGTAACCAACACACTTACTCATTCATGATAATTTTCAGGAATAAAAGATTAGGATATAGGAGTCCTTAACCTTTAGGAGAAGTGCATTTCAGCTAGATCCATACCACATGACATGTGCTCACCACCAAATGAAATGGAATCTAGACCCAAGGGGGACATTTCTCCAGCATTTTATCTGCCCCGGGTGGTGGGGGAATCTTTCTTTATGAGGGCATTTCAAACAAGCATTGCTTTTAGTCTATTATAGATATTTGCAAATAGGATAAGTATTAAGATTTTTTTATATGCTTACTTATTTTATGCTTTCAACAAAGCAGCATCACTTTACAGTAAAATAGATACAAAATATATTCCCCTTACATCATATCATTTCATATTGCTGAAATCTTTAAATATTATAATTTAGGAAAGCATTAAGATAAAGAGATGGAGTACATGGTTCTTATCTGATTGTATGCTGCGTGATCAAAAATATGGTGAATGCTTAAATTGTTTTTAAATGAAAATTTATTCTATTAAAAAACATATTGCCATTAATTTCCCTCAAAATAATCCCCTTCAGACACCTTCATCTCATTATTCAGGCTACTTTCTGAAGCAGTTCTAGAACTCTTTTTTCCTGTCTTTAGTTGCACTGTCTTGGCTACCTCGATGTCCTAAACTGATTCAAAAATGCTTCCCTTTCCAAGTCATTTCGACTTTAAAAAAGAGCTGCAAAACACTTAGTGCTAGATTCAGTGAGTAAGGTGGAAGAGAACACATCGTGATATTTTTAAGAACCTATGGTACTCAATAGCAGCATTCACCATATTTTGGTGATACTTTGTAAAGATGCTCATGAAAAGAGAACTTCTAGAATTGCTTTTGAAAGTGACAAGAACAATTTGATAAATATGTTCTGAGCAAGGGGAAATATTTTGAGGGAAATTAATGCAAATGTGTCTTTTAATGTAATTTTAGAAAATTTTTAAACAACATATATTTTGATCATACCCTGCATATAAATTAATTTGGCATTCATACCATTTTTCTCTTTATTGTACTTGTTGACATGATTCTGGTGAATTGATGGTGGTAGTATCAAGCTTAGAAATTTTCACATGAATTTTTTTTTTTTTGCTAACATAAATTTTTAGTTGTAGTTTACAGTCTGCCTTGATGGGAACATGGTTAAAGTTGACTTTACCTACCCTGCCGAGAGCTCTAGAGAACCAGACATCTAATTTGCCTAGCATTATGCAACCTGGCAAGTGGAGGCCAGAGTTTTGAAATAAGTGTGATTTTTCGTGAAAGCACCTGCTAGGTCATCTCTGACCAAGGATGACCTTGGAGTGCTGTATTTTTCCAGACCTCCATCAGCTATATAAATGGGCTTTATTCTGCAGGAGAAAGAGGTGTTTTTGCCATCTTATAAAAAAGACCTAACAATTCCAGGTTACAGGTGGGCACAAAACATTTGGAATTTAGTGGTGTCTATCACAGGCAGTATGTGCCAGTAAAAATGGAGATCAAAGGTCCTCGAAAAGGGGAAGGACAAACTGAAGAGGAAATAATTGTGGAATAATGAATGGTATGAGAGCATTTTCGTGTTAACTTGAAACCACTTAGCATTTTTCCATGACACCCAGGTATGTTTCTAAATGAACTTTGTAAAGTACAATTGAATAACCTTGAGTTTAAAGCTGTAATGTGATTTTAAATACTGATAGAATTTGCTTAAGCACTTGACATATCCTCTGCTTTCATTTCTACTTTTGCTTCCTTCATGAAAAATAAAATTTATTTTCTGTTCAGGAGAATCAATATTTTAACCACTTTGGTTTTTTTTTAGCTATTCCAGTAAATTGCAATCAACATTAGTTACAATCTTTAAAGAGCTGCAGTAAGAATTTGAACACAATAAAATAAAGATACAGATTAGAACTTTGGCAAAGTACCTTTGCTATTGACAAAAGCATTTATCAGGGCCTACAGCTGTGTCTATATTGTGCTAAAAACCTGATAAAGGGGGAAAAAGCATCAATAGGTTTCACTTTCTGTCTGTACACCCCAAACAAATGGTTTAACTAATAGCTATTGTTTTAAGTGAGTGGATTCCATTCACCGTTGTGAAATTTATCCTATTTAGAAATGTATTTTAATTAACATTTATATCCAATATATGCATATTTGGTAAAGGTATTGTACTCTTGTGTTCTTTTTAATAACATAGAATCTGATATCTAGAAGACTAGTGGTCCAGAAATGAAGATCCAGTAGTCATGAAAAAATCCCCAAACACACATTTGTTTGTTAGTTGGTTGGTTGTAATAGTTATATGCTTAAGACCTGACATGCTTTCTTGGGTGTTCCCTTTAGAAACTGCCAAGCTTTGGACCTTTTCTTGAAAAGCGCAAGAAAATTATAGCAGAGAATAAGATCAGACTCAAGGAGCAAAATGCAACTTTTTCTCCAGTTGAGAGAAACTGTTTCATCCCCAAAAAGCCTATTCCTTCTATCAAGGTAAAATTTAAACCAACTATTTAAATATATCTCTTTTATTGTTTAAATATGCAAATGTGGTATATATGTTTATTTCTTCCTTAACTGTAGCACTGCCTTTTGTTTTGAAATTTTCTTAAAGCTTCTACAATTCTATCTAAAGAAAAAAAGATCTTTAAATTGTAGAATAACATCTTATTTGTACATTTTACACTTTTATTTGTGTAATTTATACTTTTCAGAGTACTTTCAGGTATGTGTTTCATGGAAATCTTTGTGAGTTAAATATGTCTGGAGATATTAAGGTAACTTCTTTGTCTTATATTTGATTAAAATTTGTTTTAATCCACAAGTTAATATCAAGAGATCTCATATTAATTATGCACAATAACTAAAGTATCAGTATATAACATTGTTATCAATATGACAGTTTATATTTTGGAAGAACTTTCTCTGGTTTGGCTCAAGAAAATGTGTACATTTATTTACATCTCAGGAGATAGTACTCTAGGTAAGGGTTATCATTAAATCAGAATCATACATATCACTTTTCCTGATTTTTTAAAAAACTTCTTTATTCTGAGAGAAATATCAGTTCATATTTAGTTATAAGAAAGATTACAAAGAAATATTATTGTCCCTCTATCCGATTTTGCAGTGGCAGTATGTTGAATAATTGTACTATGGTGTCACAACCAGGATATTGAACCAGATACAATCTACCAATCCTATTCAGATTTCTCTAGTTCTATTACAGTTCACTCATTCGTGTGAGTGTGTGTGTGTGTGTGTGTGTGTGCAGTTTTGTTACCTACTTAAACTCATATATCTACTACCATGATTAAGATAGAAAACAAACCCATCACTGCAAGGATTCTTCAGGAAGATCTATAGGAGACATATCCCCTTTCTCTTGTGAATTTTAAAATGGAAATGTTTAAAATGTTCATATTGAAAAAATGGGGTGTTATTGGATAGCATTCTCTCTGAAATCGCCATGAGTGAAATGTGGCCTGCAGTTACTAAAGTTGATTCTTGTCCTCCCATGATCCATTTTTCTGTTTGAAGCACCAGATGAGGAGCTCACTTCTAGGTGCTCTCAAGCAGACCTCACAGAGTGACAGTCAAATGGAGATGGGAACGCTTAAAAATTCCATCTGTGAGGGGGAAAAAAATCCTGGGCCTTAATCTAAAAACAGCAGAGTTGAGGCTTGATGTGGCAAAGTTTAAGTGATGTAGAGTTCTGCAAGGAAAAATAGAAGTGGTTGGCCACAAACTCTACCAGCACTTTAAATGCTGTCATTCCACATAAAATGATCACTTGAAACTTTCACCAGAATAATGCTTGCAAATAGTCTCTTGAGATGTTCCTGTTAAATTATTTGTGTACTGCAGAAAGAATGAGCTGAACAGAGATGGGAAAGAGAAGTCTGTATCCTCACAGGCTGTTAAAAGTCTTCTGACTCTACCATGTATAGCTGTGAGTGCTGCAAGATTTCGGATTAAGTGGGAATTCTCCAAGTCTTCTCACTCTTAACTAAATGAAATTAGCCAGGCACAGCAGCACACACCTGTAATCTCAGCACTCAGAAGGCTGAGGCAGAAGGATTGCCATGAGGTAAAGACCAGCCTGAACTACATAGTGAGACCCTGTATCAGAAAACAAGACAAAGACTAAATGAAGAATCTCTATCTCTAGGAATCTTTTCTTAATGTATAGACATTTAAAGGAAACATATTATTTATATTTGAAACAGCAGAAGTACTGATAATAAAAGAATGTTGATCTTTTCCATACTTCTAATCCTTTGGTGAATATATTGATAACCTAAAAGTAAAACAAAAGCAGAACAACAGAAAACCTGTAATTTATTTAAAATTTGTAGTTTGTTAGCTACTTCCCCATACATCCCAAAAAATTCAAACTCAGAAGAATTAAATCAAAGAAAGTGAAGGAGGTGACTCAGTGGAACAACATTTGCCTAGAAACATGAAGGTTAAGTGTCTTTTAATATCAAGAAGAGATAGTTTTATTGCAAGTAGTACAGGATTAAACTGGGTGCAGTGGTGCATACTTGTAATTCCAGCTACTTGGGAGACTGAGGCAGGAGGATAGCAGTTTGGGGCTAGCCTAGAAGATTTAGCAAGAACCTATCTCAAAATAAGGAAATAAAGAATAGAGGTGTACCTCAGTGCCTTCTGGTTCAGTCACCAGTACCTCAAAACACACACAAATAAACACTACACATATATATATTCCTCTTTTAAGTTGTCTCACCTTAGTGGTTGCCCAAAAGGAAGGATTCCTGGGTCACATGTTACTTAAGCCTCGCTCAAGACTCTGTAGATACCATGGGAACCTAAGATCACATCAGTACCAACATATTAAGAGACTGCTCCTGTGGATTTTCTCAGTGTCCACTGGAATTTTCAAGAGCGTGGCTTTCTTCCCAGAAATTCCACACCCATTCCACCTGTTGCCATTTCCAGGCAGATAATGTGGCCTGTCGGAAAGCTTTAATACCAGTCAGAAATGGTGTCCCCGCTCCCATGAGTGGAGCATTTTTATTTTTTATAAGTGCAATTATCTTTTTGAAAAATGAAGTAGCATCACTGACAAGTAAGTGATTGCCTACTTCAGCTTGCTTTCTACAAGCCTCTGTGTAGAATGGAGGATGGTATATATTTTAGAGGAAGGCAAAAAAGTATGGAAAGACTGTATTTGCTCCCAGATAGTATCCATGGGTCATCTTGGTTTCTGACGATCCCTGATCTCTACATATGGTGTTGTTTATCAGTAGTGACTTATATAGTTACATTTTTAAATTAGAGTAGTTGTCTACTAGTTAGATACATTTTTGCTCATATTCCAAGATAGTTTTCCAGACAGGAAAGTATTTTTTTTCCATCTGCATACAGCTACAAAGTATCTAGCAACTGACAGCTTTACTAAGCACACAAGCCCTGTATGTGTTATGTTTAATCCCAGCAATACTTAAGATAAATACTTTACCCCATTTTACAGATGAGGACATTGAAATATGAAGGATTGAATAATTTGCTCAAGTTATTTAGTAAGCAAGTAGCAGGATGAGGGAGGGACATGACATTGGAAATTCCTGGCTAAGGAAATTCAAAGGTTGACCTACAAGATTAGTGAAGTTTGGAACCTTTTAGAAGGCTTATGAGATAGACATAAAGATGGTCATGGAAGATGAGGTCTTCAGTATGAAATAATATGAAGATCACTTCAGGAGAATTGAGACAAAGGAGTTTCATCATGGTTATACAAATGATCATTGATTTCAAGTATATATCTAATAAGAGCCTTGTGAAAAGAGATCATTAGACAAGAAATCTCTCCCCCTACTTTCTCCCCCATGTTCCTTCTCAACCTTCTATAATTTCATTTCTTTGTTTTGTTCTAATATTTTAAACATAAAGATTAATGTAAAAATTAACCATAATCCTACCAACTAGACTTAACTATAAATAAAATTTAGATTTATAAAATTATAGGCCCTTTTCTATATTTACATGTAATATCTTAAAACAATCATAGAATATTAATTTTCTTTTTACATCATTTACTGGTGTTATACTGTTCGGTAAGATGAATTTATTTATTTATTTGGTACTGGAGATCGAACTCAGGTCCTTCAGCTTGCAAGACAGGCGGTGGAACCCCTGAGCTAAATCCCGGTCTATTATTTACTGTTGAACATTTAGATTGTTTCCAAAATTTTATGTAAAAACAAATACCATTATACAGAAATCTTTGTGGATGCTTCTGATTATTTTCTCAAGTAAAATTATAAGTAGTAACATTTTAAGACTTTTTATACTATAATTTTATAAGATATTGCCAAATAATTTTCCAGGAAAAGTGTACAAATTTATAGTCATTTCAAAAATTTAAGGGATGTCCATTAACAAATTTATTTTTAATTTTGGCTATTGTAAGATTGAAAAACATTTTATGTTCTTCTTAAATTTTGAACCTTCACATAGTGGTAAGCTCAGCATGCTTTTTATTTTTTGACAGTTTCATCTTTTGTGAGTTGCTGCTCATTTTCATTGACCAATATTCTGTTGGAATACTTATTTTTGTCATAGAATTTTGTAATTTTATAAATTTTAAAAATAATAGCACTCTGTCAAGTCTACTTCATACATAATGTATTTCTAAGATTGCCATTTGACTCATAATTTGTATCATGGTAATTTTACATATATGCACAGAAGTGTTTATACAATCTTTTCTAGAAAAATCTCACTTATTCTTATCTTTTCATTTGTTTAGTTTAATGTTTTATACAAAAATATGGGCTAATCATCCCTCTAATTCTTCTAGGATTTTAATATATATACAACTAAATAAATAATCTGACTTGCATTGTTCATTTCAACTATGGCATTAACTTTACTTTCCCCCCAAAATAATAATTATAATAAGATAATAACTCCACGATATTTATTTATGTAGGAGAGGGAATCTCACTGATGTTTTGGTTTGTGTTTCTGTAATGACCAAACATGCTGAACATTTTTTCATGTATTTACTTTTTTGTGTACTTTTTTCATGTATATGCTTGTTTTTGAGAAGTGTCTTAATTTCACTTCAACTTTCCATTGTTTGGTTGCATCTTTTATTTTGGAGATATCCCTTTTTTTAGTTCTTTATGTATTCTAGATATTAGTCCTCTGAAAAGTAACTTCCCATTCTGTGTTTACCACTGTGGCTTTGTAATATAACTTGAAGTCTGGGATTGTAATGCTTCCTACCTTGCTTTTGTTGTCTATGATAGCTTTAGCTATTCTTGGTCTCTTCTGATTTCATATAAATTTTAGGAATATTTTTTCTAGTTTTGTGAAGAATACTGAAGCTACTTTTAGTGGAATTGCATTAAATCTATATATTATAGTTAGTAATATAACCATTTTGACAGTATCACTTCAGGGCTTTTAAAATGACTCCATCTTTCATATTATAATTCAATGATAAAAACATATCATAAATT